ATATTTAAAATTACATGTCAACCACAACCACAACCCAACCAACCCTCTTGAGACTCATATATATCCTAGATATCATTGCTATAAAATCCCAACAATATCCGTTATATCAGTTCATTGAATTTGCGGAAACAACTAGCCTTTCCGTCTCCCTTCCTTTCTTCCGGACAGCATACACATTAATAATGTTTATGTTCATGATGCCCCTTAGAATTAAACCCTAGCATAAACCAATTGTTTAAAGGTTCCAATAGGTAAATTTTTAAGTATTTAGAACCCCCTTTATTTTCCAGAAACTCTGTTTAAGGCCCCAAAGTTAAAATAAATACCGAAAATACCCCCGAAGGGGTATCTATTCAAGGGAGCCGGCTCCTACCCATGGGAGCCGGCTCTTTATCTTCCAGAGCCGGCTCTCCATCATGGAGAGCCAGCTCTATTTTAATGGGAGCAGGCTCCCTCACTTAGGGAGTCGGCTCTCTCCCCCTGAGAGCCGTCTCTACTCCATGCGTCTTCTCTGCTTCGTCCGGTTGCCTTCTGCGCTTCCGGCGAAGCTTCCATTCCCTGTCCCAACACTTTTAACATCCTTAGGGTCTAATTTAAATCTAAACAGTCCTAGAAACTCCTCACATTCCATTAGAAATTAAATTACAGAAGTTCAATACATAACCAAAATAGTTTATACGTGAACCGATTTCAGTTATTTAAAACCGCAAAATTCCAAGTCTCAGTCCGAATTGTTTTTTTAAAAAAACTTCTTAGGGTCTACTTTAAATCCAAATAGTCCTAGAAACTCTTTAAAACCCTTATGAATTGATTAACAAAACTTAACACACTCAGAACAATTTTAAGACCAAACCAGTTACAGTTTAAACAAAGGCAAATAACGGATTACAGTTTGATTTAATTATGCATAACACATCCATTTTTAATGTTTAATTAACGTCCTAGAGTCTATTTAGAATGCACAGAACACAAGTTTATAGGAAAGAGATAGACTGAAACTTGCCTTGAGATTTCGGTGTGAAACCTTAAGCGTCATCTCTAAGTTTAAGTTTCAGGACTCTCCAAGTCTATTTCCCCTCCGCTCTGCTCACAGTTCCATCCAGAAGCAACCCCTCTGTTCTTCCTCCAGTCTTCCTCCTTTAGCCTCACAGAAAATCACCCGAGACCCTCTCTGTTTCTCTCAAGACCAGTCTAGAGCCTCTGTTTTCCTTCTCACAAATATTACGTGAGTAGGATTGTTCCCAACCCTAGCAGACTTAAAAGAGAATATATATAGACGTCCCAAACCCTAATCTTCATAACTCTATATCTACCGGGTTTAATTTAAAACCCAATATAAGTCTGCGTCCATACTATATAAAAATAAAACCCTAATCATATATCATATACAAGTCCAAATAAAACAATTAATTTAGACAACTAAACAATTTAAAATTAAACAATTACTTTAAAATAAATACACAATTAAAATTAAACAATTACTTTAAAACAAATAAACAAGTAATTTGGAATCAAGAACAAATAGACAATTAATTTAAAATAAAGAAACAATTAAACAATTACACAAATGAGCACATAAATCACATAATGAAATAAAATGCAATAAAATCAAATTTAAATTCCCATTGTATCCTTTTGAAAACTAGTGGTAGTACAAGTGGTGCGACAGTTGATTCATTCATTTGGCTATTTGAGACTTGGCTAAAAGCAATGCCAAAATGTGCACCGAAGGTTATTATCACTGATCAAGATCCAGCAATGGAAAAGGCTATAGCTCAAGCACTTCCACACACCTTCCACAGGTACTGTATTTGGCACATCCTGAAAAAATTTCCTGAAAAGTTGGACTCAATGATCTTTCGAGATCACTATGACCTTTTCAAATCATCTATATGGAATTCAGAGACTGTAGAAGAATTTGAAAAAACTTGGAATGATGCATTGGAAACAAGTAAGCAACTTGATAATCATTGGCTAAAAAAAATGTTCGCACTACGTGATAGATGGGTTCCAGTATTTGTCAATAAATATTTTTCTGCCGAAATGTCAAGCAATCAAAGAGTGGAAAGTTCACATGCATTCTTCAAAAAATATTGCCATAAAAATAATTCATTAATGGATTTTATTATAAGATTCAATAGGGCAATTAGTCATTTGAGGCATGAAGAGGTGACTGACAACCATATTGATGTCAATGAATAGCCAAAGTTAAGATCCGCAATGCCTAAAGAGATGCAAATTATAGATTTGTATACAAAACAATACTTTCCTAAGTTCCAAGTCGAGCTTTATGAAAGTAGTGCTTATGTAATAAATTTTATATCAGAGGATGAAAATCAAAGTTTTTATGAGGTTACCAAGTGTGCAAAGGGAAATTTAAAGTGCGAAGACTTTTACATGATGAAGGCACTGATGTGGTCAACTGCAGTTGTCCAAAATTTGAATTTGAAGGCATCCATGCAGGCACATTCTTGCATTTTTGAAAATAAAACAAATCATGTTTTTGCCAAAATATTATATCATGAAAAGATGGATGAAGTTTGCAAGAGTTGAAAGTGTTGTAGGTCAAGATGGTGTGGAGATTAAAGATGCGCAGGATAAGTCTATTTTGATAAGGCGCACTAAATTATCTCAACTTGTAGCTACCGTCATTGATGAAGTTCCAGTCATGGAAGAAGGGAGTGAAGTATTAACAAGGGCATTGAAAAAAGTTCTTGAACAAGTCAAAGGCATTAAAGCAATTAAAGTTAAAGAAAATAATAGTTTGTGCAAGAGAAGCAATTCGACATTCCTCAACAACGAAATTTTAATGATCCCCTTCAAGTTAGGGCAAAAGGGTGTGGTAAACGTTTGAAGTCATAGCAAGAAAAAGGAAAGACGAAAGCTAGGCGTTGTAATGGTTGTGGCAAACTCGGACAAACCCATGATAAAATAAATTGTCCAATACTTAAATAATAGGTAAAGTAGTTTCTTACATACTATTTTTTTCCTTTAATTTTATTAAAATAGTTGCAACATTTATTCTTTTCTCTTAAACAGGTCAACTGCAAATACTGATGATGATATTTCAAATGAGTTAGAATATTTGGATAGTGGATGTGAATGAATCATTTTCAAGGTATGTCTTTATTTATTTATTTATTTATTTTTGCTTTATTTAAAGTTTTTTTATGAGTTTACTTAGTTAAAATCATAATTCCGTTTTTTGTAGGTTTTTGTTGGAGATACAGTAAAGAAGAAAAGCCTTGTACCAACTCTGCTAGATTGTTTGGGTTGTTTATTAAGTTAACATTATTGTGAATTCAATGTAGAATTTTTATTGGAAGGATTCAATCATGTTTTAAAATTATTTCATTTCATTGTGTACCTCTATTGTTTTGTTTGGACCTGTACATCACTCAGTTGAGCATAATTTACAATGTTAAATATTAGTCACTTGGTGCAAGATTTAACTTCAATTTCCCTACTGTAGATTATTCAATTCTAGTATACATATTTTAATTTGAAATAATTTCTTTATAGGTGGGTGCAGAATTTGAAACTCTGAATTGAATGTGGGAGTTAAATATTCTAAGTAAAATAATTATTGAATTTACGTTTTTTTAATATATTTTTTTGAACTGTTGATCTCAAATTTGGATTCACTAAAACAGTGAATGAGGTAATTTTTTTGTTTTGATAAGTAGTGAATGGGGTGAATTTATCCTCTAGGTAGTTAGAAAGACCGGCAAAAATGGTCCTTTGAACATTGTTTTACTCTAATCTGCTTTTCAAAATTTATTTAACATGAAAAAAAAAAATTAATTCTCTTAGTCTCTTCAAGTAGCCAGAGAGATGAAGGAATAACAAATCGAAATCAACAAGAATAGCAAACTTGTGTATAGCAAGCTAATTAAGAAATTCTCAAAAAAAAAATTCTTAACTGAACGTATATGAACGAAGGGAATGAACCTTCTATTGTTGAAGGGATTGGAAATTTCAATTTTTTTAATTTGCCTTCTATGTTTCAACCTTCTATCGTTGAAAAGATTAGAAATAATTAATTTTTTTTAATGTTTAATTGGTATGGTTTGAGAATTCGGATAGGAAGAAATTCGTATAAATAATATAAAAGAAAAGTTTTACCAATTTTGTTTTAATTTGTTTCCATTAAAAACTTGTATAGTTTTGTCATTTCCTATTAATAATATAGAATAATCATAAAAAAAGAAGCAATTACCTTAAATATAAAAAACGAACACTGATTAATTAATTACCGTATGATTAGATTCTAAGGTCAAAATTCAAATACTGATTAATTAATTACCGTAGGATTAGATTTTAAGGTCAAAATTAAAAGTGAGCATACTATTCTATACTCTCCAGGGAGCAATTGAACGCTACTGGTGTGTATATATATATTTATATATATCATATATATATATATATATATATGATATATCTATAATTGTAAATTTGTAATGTATGTAGTTTTTTTATTTAATTTTTTTATGTTAGAGAATATTCTTGACCAAGTCAAAAAGTATTTATGGATAAAATTGTCTTTTTATATATTTTTAATTAAAACAGTGACGAAAAAGTGACAATGAACTTAAATGATAATTATTTTCATAAGATATTCAAAGATAATATTTGACCAAACATGTAAGTGGAATTAACCCTATTATATATATCATGGTATCACAAAACGAAGTTTGTTTTTTCATTCCCCTCTCTTCAATAGCGATCTTTGACATACTGGTAAAGGTATCCCAATTTATCAACTTGATTAATATAAATGGATCAAATGATCTGCCGGGTTGAAACAATCCTTTCCTCATTAATTATCCAATTTTAACAACTGACATCTTCATCGACAAGAAAGACTGATCACATCTATCATAAATAATCGTCATCACAAGAAGAAAAGCAGAGGATTTTTGGTTTTGGAGCAGCAAGAGTCATTACATATGATGACTGCAAGAGTGGAAAGAAGAAAAAAAAGAGCATTCAAGTACAAATTTAAAACAGAACAGATATCACAATTTATTAGTCTTTCTCACCAAACTTTATTACAGCACTCCATCTTCCTCATTTTTACTGGGAAAATTATTTTTTCCAGAATGATTAGAAACCACTCCTTAAACTTGCATGACAAAAGAAAGATAATACATAGGTGGAGGTAGGGGACGGAGTAACACTGAAGACAGGCGTACAGTGCTTGACTTAAGCATATAGTTGTGGGTGTGCCAGCAAGTGCTCCTCCACTTTCTTGAACATTTCAGTGGCTTTGTCTTTGCCAGCTTTGAGTTCCTCTGGTTTGATTTCAATGTCACCCTTAGTGTGGTAATAACTTGTCAACTTGCACACGCTTCCGCCACCGGGGCCGGCCTCGATCTTTGCCTCATAAGTGATAGATTCGAGCTTGTCGCCCAACACATCTCCTTCAATCACAGTGTACTTGCTTGAAAAATTGGCTGTGTCCAGAGCATCAATCCTATGTTTCACATACTTGAAGGGGGCAGCTGCATACAAACGTACGTGTTAAACTTTGTTCGAATCACAAACACGGACACAAACAAAAATATAAGATATATTGCAATAGTATTATAAAAAAATAAGCTAGATAAGTGTAATTATTGATATATAAAAGTGAGAAATTAACCATCAGGGAAGTTGGTCTGTTTGATGCTTCCAACTCCACCATCTCCATGAACAAACTCAATGCTCTTGATGGATTGAGGCGCAATTTTGGGGATGAGATTGTGGGAGTCAAGGATCAAAGCCTTGAACATCCGGGAAGGAGCAACGGAACAAGCGTCTTCTTGGGTATAAGTGGTGACACCCATGATTGTGTATTAAGAAGAAATTAACTGGGTTTAGCCTAGGAGGAGTGTGGGATCAATGTAGTAGATATTTGGGTTGTGAAATGAAGAAGAGCATTCGTGGGTTTATATAGAGTGAGATTAAAAGCATGTATGCGTCTTTGGCAGCATAATTCTTCTGGTCTACAGTTCAAAGGCAAGCGGCCCCTATTATGGACTGGGTGGGGGTGGGGGTGGGAGTGGGTCCCGCTTGTTTCTAGATAATTGACCCCACTCGATCCAAGAAGGCCCACCAAATTTTGGAATTACCGATAACTTCACAACTAAGGTCGACACTGGCGTTTACACTGGGGCTCTCGTGATGCAAGGAGTTAATGGAAAGCAAGCATTGAGGTGGCGTTAGTTTGTTGAAATTGTTTTCGATACAAAGAGCATGAATGACGCCACTCTAGTCCTATACAAAGACCAGCTTGCTAAATTGATTGTATAATTGAATTGAAGATCAATGGCTGGGGGAGTGCGTAACTATTTTTTCCTTAAAAACTGAAAGGATTGTCTTACACAAAGGGTTGATGATAATTCTTTTCATTCTATAGATTAGGCCGTTATTTGTCAGAATTAAAAAAAGAAATGACATTTGTAACTTTAATTTCATAAACTAATAGTCATTTTTAAATATAAAAAAATTACACTACCACTCTTACAAGATATGGTTGATCTGCCCCCGTCTCTCTCCCATCCTAGTGTATTCTTCTATTTTGAGTATAAATAAAAGAAAATTATAACTAAATTATCTGTTTTAGCAAGACCCTAGGGAAAAAAAAATTACACATATAAATGTCATTTTCTTTTAAACTTTCTGATAATTAAACTATTTAGTTTGACACAGACCAAAAAAAAAAATGAAAAAAAAGAAAGAAGAAAGAGTATAGTATTCAAAACCAAAAAACAAAAAAAAAAATTGTATCGAATTCAAATGTCCCTCCAATGGCCACATCATGATCCATCCATCTTTTGACCCACAGGTCACAACTTGGAAAAATTGGAGCTAGACTTGTTCTTTTGTTCTATATTCATATCCCTTCTTTCAAATAAAAATAATAAATAAAATAATAGCATATTAAATTCAACAAAGACCCACCAATCCCTATGTGCAGTCCTAAAGATCTTTGTATTTATTAAAGGAAAGGAAAGCTAATCTGTTTGTTTATCAATGTAAGACTTTGGACCTGGTTTTTGTACGAGTCTTATATTTGTTTTTGGTTTAATATAATACAGTAGTGATTTTGAAAGTACTGTCCAGTTACAAGCCTACATCGTTTGGCTCTTTTTTTCTTTCTTCCTGACAATGAAGTTACATCAGGTTAGAAACCTCTACAATTAATTCTTGGTTGAGTAAGTACTGTATTCAATTGGCGAAAAATAGTACCGACCAAATACAAATTTACTGGAGTACCTATTTTCTAGTGTCAAAGAAAAAGGTAAAGTTTTATTCACAGGAGATATTCCATAGCGGATAAAAAGGTAATTTTCCTTCTTGGAATTTAGATAAGAGCAAGTGAAGTTGGTGGATGTCAAATCAAAAGAGTCATTATCTTCGGAATTCCATTTCATAAAAGTCATTCTCGGATTGTGTTTTGCCACGACTACTGCCAGAAAATCAACATTATCCTAAGAATGGATGATGGGTCTCCCGGTAGAAAAGTCACTAGTTTGAATGTAGGAGGCACGTAGTATAATAATATAATTAATTTAAATAGAAATATTGTAAATATAGGGATCTATGCTCTGCAATTATCTTTTTTTTTTATAAACTATTTTTTCTAATCTCAACATAAATTCTGCATTCCATCCTATACAGAATTACAGATCATACATCTGACATCACATGAGATAGTTTCTTTCAAAACTGAATTTTAAAGAAGGACAATATTTACGTTCCAATCCAGGTTGCATGAAATTTGTTCAATCTGAGTACATTGCCCGATCAAATCATGACACATGTCATAAATAATATAAAATTCTATTGAATATTGCCTGTCAATTTTCGGATATTACCCGTTCTCTTGCCTCGCTGCGGAGTCAACTCTTCCATCTTCCTTCAAATCTGATTCTTGTTTGGTGGCTATTGGCGAAGAAACAATCGGCGTTGAGGTCAGCGATGTAGTCCGTTGTCGCCGAGGTGGCCCAAGAAGAGTATGGAGAGGATAGAGCGAGTGGTGTTGGATTGGTGGCTATTGGAGACTGAGTTGACTCGGCAGCGAGGCAAAGCCACGGCCGAATTGACGAAGACCTCATTGCCGACGACGATGGCTTCGATTTGGGTAGAGGGTTGGTAGCCGACCATGGCTGCCGCCACCGTCAGTCCTCTCATCTCTCTAACCTTCTACCACCACCCACAATCAGCCCCTCCACCACTGCTCACCCACCATACGAAACAACCATTTCCACCCCTTCCCCGCACCACCCACAATCGGCATCCCCACGAGCTCTTTCTCTCCGTTTAGATCACACAGTAGTCAGAATCTAGGGTTAGGTTTAAACACCATTTTGTGCTATTGATTCATCACCGAAATCCCTAAAATCGAAGAATGAATCAGCCATCATCGTCTTTTGATTTGACGGCGAAATTGGCCGAATTCCCAGCAGCGGCGCTCCATTGGGTCAGGACGAGTTACCAATCATCCTTGCCGTCGTCGTCCGGTATCTCGTCACCATGTGTGATACCCCCTAATTTCGCAACACGGGTTGATCAAGTCCGCGGACAAAATTAGGGGATATCAAAACAATTAAAGTATTTAAATAAGCACAAATTACAAAATGAAATAAAGAATAAACTAAAACGCTGAAGAAATCTAATTAATAGTAAATCCATTAATAACTTCTAAATGATTACAATTCGGGAATCCCGTAACTCAAGGACCCCTTAACCAAAAGTTACTATGTAGAATTCCAACCAAATAAATACTAATATCAACTGAAACAGAAAGAATGGATAAGTCCTCCAGCTGCAGATCCTCAACCTTGAGACTTGACCTTCTAACAACCTGAAAAATAAATCGCGGATTAAACCCTATGACCAAGTTCCCTCTACCAAACCTCTGAAAGCTAATAAACAAATCATCTATATCAAAACAAACCCTAATAAAGTTTAAACTTTAATATACCATGCTATAAATATATATAAATACTTTTATACAATACAATAATCCTATCTATAAATAGGTGCAATTAAATTGTTAAATCCATTTACCAACGATTAATTAATAATCAGACCTAGACCAAAACCATCATTTATAATTTTCCTATAAAATAAACTCTACTCACCTTAATTCCAACCTAACTAGTAATTTAACATTTTAGCTATAAATTACAATTAAATTAATAATCCACTAAAATCCCAAAACCTAGTAATACTTTTGATTGTTTAAATTACATGTTCAGAAATTTAAACTTTCACAAATCATTCATGTCTCCACCAACAATATTTTATTAATATATACCAAGTAATATACTAATATGTAACCACTAGATTATTCTAATTTAAGAATATCTAACTTAAATCCAACTCATACCTACCGTACACATAGATGAATTTAATCATCTAACATACATAGCAATTTAATTATGCTATAGCAATTCAACCATGCTATTATGAATATATTTATCTATATATTGGCAACTCAACCATGCCTCCTCAAGTATATATATTTATACTTTTAATTAGCAATTCATCCATACTTTCCACGTATGTATTTTATCTATACGAATAATAAGGCAATATATTTAAGCCTTTGGCAACTCATCCATGCCTACAATTCAACCATATACCAACCTTAAACTTAACTAATAAGCTAAATCACACATACACATCTCATGCATATAATAAGCATGCCAATAATTAATAACCAACATATTCAGATATACCAAATAAGACTTATAATAATAATTATCTTAAATGATATCCATATACACATATATTATGTAATATATACGTATATAATATCTTCCATACTATATATACATATACAGATGTATATATATATAACTACTTCTTTCCATCCTAATCGCAAGTTAAATAAACCATATACTCATGTACGATTATAAATAAATAACTAAATAAATAAATAAATATATATATATATATATATATATATTCATTCCCTTCTATAATAATCATTAATTTATTCTGTTACACAAGCTAAAGTCTACCACATATCTTAGTAACACTCTACAGCCTTTAGAAAAACTAGAACACCTCGAGACATATTCTAGAACCTCTCCGGACTTTACCGGACCTTTTCGAGACACCAAATACCTTACCACGCGCCTCTACACTCTCCGAAGCACCTTGCACGCGCCTCCACACATCTTTCCACGCACGCACGCGCTCACACGTGCCCTCACACGCGCTGGAGAGTGAGCACACGCTCACACGCGTTGCCACGCACGCGCACGCGCGGCCACGCGCTGCCACGCGCGCTGGCTATTCCTCTTGCTGACGCGGCGCGCTCCTATTGGTTGGTTGTACCGCGTCCCTGCTGGTGCGCTCCAGCGAATCAATCCACCATCATCCACCTCATCCAACGGTCTAGATCAGCGTAGCCATCAACATATTATACACCCTAATGCACTGAATCAATCTATTATGTATTTCAACATTCAATGCCCCAGATTCACATGCACATACTTTTAGCATAGGCCGCACCACACTGGAATATCGCCCTTCTAAACTACCACCCGTGCGTAAACATATACAGTATATATATATATAATTAATTTGCACATATATAATTATATATATATATATAATTCTAAATATCCGACTTTTTCCTAAAAATATCAAATCAGTCCAGAAAATTCTAGGAAAAATCCACAAGCTTAATTTATTAATTTTGGCCATAACGAAATATATGTAATTATATTTTGGTCCATTTAATTTAATTAATCACGCTACATAAAGTTAAAACAAACTATAAGAAAATTTCAGAAATAAAATTTAATTAATCTTCCCTCACATACAATATTTAAATTATCCGAACAATTCATACATATATTCACATGTTTAAATCTATAAAAAGAATTTTAAAAAAAAATAAGCATGCTC